CGCCGTAAAAATGAGGAAAAACTCTCCGAGATCGATTGACTCAATAGTTACAAGAATGGAATCAAACACACCAATGATTATGACACTGGTGCAGGAAGGCACAGTATTTCATTCTATTACACCTAGATTATCACGAGTCAGCGCTACTAGACACAGCTAATGACATCAGCAAAAAGCACTGACGAAAACAAGTGCCCTATCCCACATGTCATTCGTTTTTCTTTTGTGGAAAAAATGATAGTGAATTGATTGAAAATGTACCGAGCAAGTCAGTTCTCCATTCAACAATTCATACTCATTTTGTCTCGTGCCATCAATTGTGATCCCTTGGATGTAATATCACTCAACCCTCTTCTTCCCCGTCCCATATGTAATTCAAAACAAAATCAAGATTACACTTGAAAACCCCAAGTTAACGAGTTGTTGGCTTTAAGACAGATTTTCCTGAGTGTTTATTCTGGATTTAATAAAATATCAACGCTCCTTCCTGCTTTGCTGGGGACCCAAGTGTTATTTTAGTCAACCTATTGGGTCATGTAACCCAGGGTGAACTCTCCCGCTATTTCCAGGACAGGACCCGGAGAGATGCTCCTTTTAAAGATGTTTCTTGAATGAATAAGTCAGCAATGCTGTATGCTTTTCTCCCTCACAGAGTGAGCTGAAAGCTCTCTAAAAATGCGAGAAATTCAGATCTCCTTCATGTCCAGGAGACTTGAGGCTGGCCAGTCAGTCATTCTTGGCTATGTTCCCATGAACAGGGTGGCTTGAGTTTGTTGAGATAGCTTTGGGGCCTTCTGAAAAGGACGTACCATTATCCTTAGCACGGAAGCCTGATAATCAAGAGACCGTGAGAGGATGTTCCATTGACAGGTATATTAGAGCTTAAATTCAGAGCATTAGGTTTATGGAAAGTTTAGGTTTAAAGCTAGACCTTGTGTTAGTCTGGGTTGATTAGAAAAACAAATTCATAGAGACACTCATGTATGTATAAGAAAGAGCTTTATAAAAAAAAAAGAAAGAGCTTTATATATGAGAGCAGTTGAACATTGAGAAAGCATCCCAGCCTAGACCAGATCAAGTCGGTAAGTCTGTTAGCCCATATGTCTGATACCAATATATAAAGTCCTCTTCAGACTCACGAAACATATGCAATGACGCCGAGTGCAGGAAGATCACAGACCAGTGGGTGGGAAGTCTTGTGGATCTAGTGGCATTGTAAGCATCTCAGTGCTGGCTGGGATCTCTATGTGGCTTCTCCGGCTCCAGAAGTCTGGCTCCATCAGCCTCTCTCCAGGCGTCTTCTCCACAGGGATATCTTGCAGGGAGTGAGCAGAGAGAGTGTCTCCTGTCTCCAAGGAGGAATACAAGAGTTCCCAGAATCCTTGAGAGCAGGCCAGGCCCACACAGAGGCCTTATTGGCTATGACCTGATTGACAGCCTAGGCTCCACCCCTTCACTCTGAATCCTCAAATTGACACCAAATTATGTTACTACCACAACCCTCAATCCATTTTGCCTCCGTTGAGTTCATCCTGACCATTAACCAGAAATGTAGAGAGCTTTGCTCTCAGGCAGAGCGTGTTTAAAATGGATCCCTACACCCCAAATTCATTTGCAGGGTCCCCACATGGATCAAGCATCTGCTGAGTCCCCTCTGACACATAGTCCCGGGATGTGACTAGCCTTGATATCAAGCAGAGTGCAACGTAAAGTCAATTATGGCCGATGTAGTTAGGTTAAGATGAAATACCTTCATTTGATCTCCAAGGTGTTTCAGTTATTAATATTTCCTGCTTTTTCCCCTCCCGAGGAAGGTTTTTCTGTTTTGTCTAGCCATTGTTGTTGGGGGTTTGTTTGTTTGCTTAGGTCCTGTCTGTGTTTTATATGAATTCCAATGCATGAAATCTAGGCTATAGAGACAATAACTGGATTGACCATTGCCCGGGGACACCGCAGGGGAGGATGGGAAGAGGGGGATGGGGAGCTGACAACAATGAGTAGGAGCAGAAAATGTTCTGAAATGGATTGTGAAGATGATTTCACAAATCTTAATATGACTGAACAATTAAATTGTATGATCTGTAAAATATATTCTAATACAACTTTTTTTTTTAAAGCGGATTGCTACAATTCCCCTGGCCAGTCCTTGTGGATTTACCGTGATGGGAAATGGGGAGCAAGGGGTATATTGGCATGTGTTATACTCTGGAGCCCCAGAACCAATCTCGCACATTTTTCTAATCTGTTAATAATGTGCATAGTTCAAGCCATCGTCCTTTCCTGCTTCTGCAGTCCTACCTGTGTCCAATTGCTTTTGTTCCCCATAGTCTATTATTCAGCATGGCGGCAGTCTTAGAGGGTTGCGGGAGTGGGAATTGGCTGGATGGCAGTGAGTCTGGTTTTCAGTGTTTGGATAATCAGTCACATGGGCATGAGCACTTTGCGTACCACTGTGGCTTCATGCTCATGGTCTCCTTCATCTCTGGATGATGTCTTTGTCTTTTTAAAGACTTAATAAAGGGTCTTTAATAAAGGGGTACAATTGATTATATGGGGTGGGCTCCTAACGACCTACCATGTGCTCTGTGGGAGGAATATGAGGCTTTCTGCTCCCATAAAGATTGACGGTCTCAGAAACCCACAGGGGCAGCTCTCGTCATAAGATCAATATGAGTCATAACAGTCTCAATCACATTGCGTTTTAGTATAAAATACATTTGAATTTAGGGTCTTGGTTCTCCTAGAACCAGACTTCTTAAACTTTTTCCACTCGGGACCTCTTTTTGCCCAAGAACATTTTATGCAACCCTGGTTACGAGTTGGGCTGCAAACTGCAAGGTCAGCAGTTCAAAACCACCAGCCACTCTGCAGGAGAAAGATGGAGCTTTCTACTATTGTAAAAAGTTATAGTGTCTAAAGCAGGCATCCTCAAACTATGGCCCGCGGGCCACATGCAGCCCGCTGAAGACATTTATCTGCCCGCCAGGTATTTTTGCCCCGTTTGTTTTTTTTACTTCAAAATAAGATATGTGCAGTGTGCATAAGAATTTGTTCATAGTTTTTTTTTAAAACTATAGTCCGGCCCTCCAATGGGTCTGAGGGACAGTGAACTGGCTCCCTGTTTAAAAAGTTTGAGGACCCATGGTCTAAAGGCTTGTATTCAAACAAGCAGCCAGTGAGGCATCAACCAAGTCCACGTAGAAGAAACTCATCAAAGTTGACAAAGAACAAAATCCAAATATGACGGAGGGAAAGGTACCAGAACTTAAATTGTGAACACTGGGAGCCTGAAACCCATTTGCAGTGTATCTAGTCAGACTAAGCCTCTGGCAGGTCCACTCTGACCACAGTGGAGGGACACGAACAGCCTTACCATCAAGCAGAGGTTATTGTAAACTTGACTATGGTAGATGGAACCAAGGTGTCTCCCTCTTGACCCATTCTGGATTTATTCTATGTTTAAATATTTCTCGCTTGTTTTTCACCAGAGACCTACATCTTCCCCTCTTGTATGCCCTTCCAAAAGATGACAAAACATTAATCCCTCATGCATACTTCCTGCATACACATATCTTACATAAAAGAACTAGGTCGTGTTAGAAATACCGCTGCTTCTCGGAGTTGCAAACTCTAGGCTGCCCTTAAGCCTGGTAATTCACTGCTGGAATTTTCGCTGCCATCAAGTAAATTCTGACTCATAGTTAGTCTATAGAACCGTGTAGAACTGGCCCTGTGAGTTTCCAAAGCTCTAATTCTTTATGGAGTAGAAAGCTTCGTCTTTTCTCCCTCAGAGAGACTGATGGTTTTGAACTGTTGAACCTGAGGTTAGCAGCCCAGCGTCACCACTACACCCCCAGGGTTCCTGGCTGGATTTAGGAATTACTCATTCCAGAAACTCTTCTGTAAACAATCACTTGCTAAACTATCACTCGTGACCACACAAGGTTCTACCCCTGTACAGTTTCAAACACTCCATGGTCGAGGGACTGAGGGGCGACGCCTGAGTGACCCAGACAGAAGAAGCCGGTGGCTCAGTCAGTAACGATGGATGCACCAACTTGGTGACCAAAGCATCTGGTGTCCAGTGGCCTCAAGACTCCCCGAGGTTCCAGGAATCGAGGGGTGAGCCCACGGGGTCCTCGGAGCCCGAGCCTGGCGTTCAACCAGGCTCAGCCGCCACCTACATGTGCTCCTCCGCTCCCTTGGCAGTTTGGAGCAGCGGCTCCAGCTTCCCGCGCACTCATTGGTGGCGCCTCGGGAGCGTGGACCAATCAAAACCCTCCTCGTG